TGCACCGAGGACCTATCCACGTCATCATTTACCCAGAATGCTTTGTGTGTAAATAAAATGGCTTCATCCATGTTAAAATATATTTTTTAAAAATTAAAAAACTAAACAGCCTATTTTAGAGTTTTTATTTTACAGTTAAAATACGTTTATCAAATAAAGTCTGTTACAACTAATCAGGGATCCCTTTAAAATGACAAAATGATTAAATTCATATTTAAAAGCTGTATATAATTTTATTTATGTGCATACATSAGGTCAAAAAGTCAAAGTGTTTTTGTTCCTACATCCTCATTGATCTGGGAACACAAGGAGACAGAACAGAGACACGAGACCCCCTGCCCCCGGAGTCCGTCCCTTTCCAGGGAAATCTCACTTCGTGTCTATATTTAGTGCCGCGGCCAGCCGAACACCTGAAACCGAACACTTTGAGAACGTGGCGGCGAGCTGTAAACAGCTGAGGTATCAGAGCAGCAGCTTGTTTAAAAGGTTAATGGTGTTTCAGAGCGTGGGGGGGCGGGGGGTCTCCTCTCTGCACCATCAGCCTTATTGCTGCTGATTAGAACGCTGCACTGGGAGTGTGCGCTGGCGTAATGATGTGAGTGGAATAGGGTGAGTTGGACCATTTAGGGTGAAGATGAATTAGCTTTAACAAACCCACGGAGCTGCCAGCACAAACAGTTTTCACTGTTGTTCCTGCGGTTTTCTCCCTCCTTGCTGTCATTCCTMCCGCGGCCTGTCACTATCTGTCGCTCCCCTCCTGAATCAACACGCTCATCCTCCCTCGTTCTTTTGTTTTCTCCGTTGCTTTCTTCATCACTGAAGATGCGCCTGCTTTAATTTGAAGGGCCTTTCTTCAGTAATTTGACAACACATTGTGTTTTCTTCTGCGTGTCAGAATACTGGCTCTGAATTAAGATGGAGAATGTTTCGGGACGCACCTTTAATGAGTTCTGTTGAGGGCCTTAGGTGGAAAAAAAAGTTTTTTTTTACTTTAAAAATGATTTTCCCAAGTAATGTCATAAATTTTTATTAAGGATTCTGTTAAAATGCAACATCGCAGCCGAAGTGAGGCAGGTGGGAGGGTTTCCTTTTGCTCTGAGGCAAGATCATTGACGGCTTCATATTTCAGCTCGAAGCTGGTTCTTGTGGAGAAACAACACACTCGTGCTGTTATACAGAGATGACAGAATTTAAAGCTGTCACCAAAATAAATAAACAAATAAAAACCTAAAAGTTATCTGCTCACCGTTCTGTTGTTCTAATATCTGGACTCAACAAACAACCTGTGGATTCAGTTTGCTAACCGTACAGAGCGGATTTTAGCAAGTTCACTATTTAAAAAAACGTTATTTCAATAAAACAAAGTGTAATGCTGCGTTCACACCGAACGCGATTTCAGCTTCAAAATCGCATCCAACGCTCAAGTTGGTCGCTTGTGCTCTTTGAGGTCAGACGYAGGTCAGCTCTTGAAGCGCTGCACGGCAAGAGCCTCCCCGCCCCTCCCCCCTCTGTCGGGCTCTGTTTAATGTCAGACGAGGAAGTGGCTTTGCTTTATTTACAGAGAGCAAGAGCATGTCACGTTCATCAGATAATTAATTCATAATTAATTCACCAGATAATTCAGAGACATTCAGAGTTTCATCACCCAGGAGCTGCGGGAG